GCATAAATTAACAATGGTGCTTTCTTCTCCAGAGACTACCCTTCAGTTTAGAGATACAGTTTAGAGATCCTTGATCATGATGAAGCATGATCAATTCATCTAAATTCTACTATTTTTCTCTAGTGATCAAATTTCTCACTTGGAAACTTCAACTAGTCTGTTTCATCTACTGGACTACTTTTCAAATCTAGTTTGAAAATTGGAGATTTTAAAGGAATAGCAAATAGGACTTCCACATCAAGGGTTTTACAATCAAATCTAGATCTTAAAATTCTAAGCTAATCATGGTGGCACATGCCTTTATCCCAGTGGCTCTGAAGCCTGAGGACAGAGCATGGAGAGTTCAAAGCCTGCCTCAGCAAAGGAGGCACTAAGCAATTCAATAGGACCCTATCTCTAAATAAAATACAAAATATGGCTGGTGATATGGCTCAATGGATGAGTGCTTCTGAATTCAATATCTAGTATCCACTAAGACAAAAAGTCTAAATTGATGTGCAGAAAAACTATTACATGCATAAAATATACTGAATATTTTAAGCAATTTATGGATTCTAAAATTTATAAAACTGAAGAAATATTCCATTTCATACCTGTAAAATCAAATAAAACACAAGGTAATAGAATAAAAATTACTCAGATCACTTAGCAGAAACCAATATTTTACAAACAGTCTAATTATATATGTATATACATGTACGTATACACACTCACATACACAGAGTATATATAAAACAGAAAAAACAAACTATGTTTTTTACTTGGAGAAAGCCCAATTAAGTTGAAAAGTAAATTCAAACAATTCTTAGGAAAGAAAGTAAACTTAAAAGGCTTTATTCTAATTTCCACTCACCAGAGTCTGCTCTAAGAAAACTCAGGTCTGGAAGTAAGTAAAATTTGTCTGTATCACTGTGTCAGTAACACTCAGGTCTCTAAAGCTCAGTAGCTGAGAATTCAGTCTGCTCCTTAGAGGTACCTTAGAGGAAAAAGCATTCTCCAGAGAAACACCCTCCTTAAATACCTGGAACTCACCTAAAACCACACCCACTATAGGTTACCTCTTCTAAAAGTGGTGAATCATACTATGAGATCACAGTGATTAGATTCATACAATAGAATAAACAATAGAATCTAATCACAGTGATTAGATTCATACAATAGAGTAAACAACTTTGATGAGATTTGGGGTCAGACACGAGAAAGTTCCCATGACTTGGGTTTGCAAAGAGACATTTTAACTGAAAAATTATTTTATTAAATAATACTTA